TTAAACGACGTAGCAAAGATATAACCGAAGACAACTCAATCAATGTTCTTGCTTTAATTTAACAGAATACTCATATAAGTAGTCGGCAAATCTACATACCCAAAACTACTGTTCTAAGGATTTTAAAATATTACAGGTTGGTTTTTCATATTATAAAGTGAACGTTTAGGTCAGAAACTTGAAATTCCCTTAAGATATTCCGATAAAAACGACAACAAAGCGCTTTTATCCTTTGATCAATTTCTTAAAAATACTTATGCATGATTTATCTTATGAAACAATTGTGGATTTTTCAAGATTTTTTGAGTTTTAGTAAATATAGTGGTTTCTTTTTTACCAATATTTGTTGTTCTGTTTTTTAGACTGCATCTTTATAATGTAGTTCTGCACCAAGCTTTACATGAGAGAGATTTTGATGCAAGGCTGGATTACTGCAATTTGATGTTAGGTCTGCTAAATGAACAACCGCATATCATGTCAAAGATTTTGTGGATAGACGAGGCTACGTTTAATAGTGCGGGTGGTGTTAGTCTGCATAATATGCATTATTGGGCTGAAGAAAATCCGCACAGGATACATGAGGTGCAGGTTTAAGGTAGATGGAGTCTTAATGTTTAGTGTGGTATAATTGATGGAAAGATCGTAGGTCCATATTTCTTTGATAGAACTTTAAATGACGAAACATTTGGATTTCCTGGAAAATCAGTTGATTGTTCTATTGGAAGATATTTCCTTACAAACAAGAAGAAATATGATATTACAACATGACGGGTGTCCTACGCACTTTTCCAGACGAGTTCGAGATTATTTGTATGCAAGTTATCCAAATAAATGGATTGGAAGAGGAAGTATGTTTTCATGGCCAGCTAATATCCAGACTCTACATGTTTGGACTTTAATCTGTGTGGAAGATTGAAGTACTTAGTGTACCAAACTTGACCAACCACGCGAGACGACATGAAACAGCGCATTATAAACGCAATAAATAGTATATCAACAGCTAAGATTGAAGCAGCTGTTATGTCTACGCGCGAAAGATTACATCTTTGTGTGGACAACGATGGAAAACAATTTGAACATTTAATTTGTCATTAAGTTTTAATTATCGAGGTATTTGTATGATCTTTTACATATTTAATTTCAAGTTATAATAAAGGATAAGTCAATACTATACTTACTTATGTTTATGCCTATTTATTAATATCTCGAGTTAGGCAAAAGCTATCACCATGCTGTTTGTGCCATTTTATTACGAATTTAATCCTGTTTCATTATAAATTACAATAAATAGGTGTTTCCATTAAACATTTTGAAGAAAAACAAATTTTAATTTTTTCTTTTCGAAAGTACCCTTTACTCATAACAATTATAACTAAATGCAATTGTTTTATAGCAGATATAAATTAAATTATTCACACTCTTTCTAATGACACTAATTTCGTTAAAATCGGTTGATCCAAATCAAAGTTATAGGTATTTATCCACAAATACTTTCCCACTCTCCCCCTCCCTTTATTTGAAAAAGTAAAAAAAGTACTTGAACAACTTTGTGCGGAATTTAGGCCTCTTACTAGTTTACTTATTTAACACTTGGTATAATTGGGCATATTTCACAAAAAAACTGGTTTCAAATTTTTCTTTACAGGTTACGCCCCCTAGCGGTTATCCCAGAAACTTAAAAGTTATTTCCAGCGATTTCTCTTGGCCAATTTTACTAAGAAAATTTTTCTCCTAAAGTTATAACATGAACAGTTTCTGATATATAGCCGAGAGATCGGCTTATTGGTGTTTTAAATTTAGTTACATTTACGATTATAAATTTTAATGTAATGGGTAATTAGATTAGCGTTTCTCATCTTTAAATTTAAATGATGATAAGACCATGGAAGTTCGAAATGACGTCATACCGAGGTGCTGTTTATTAATTTAAACAAATCGTAATAAATAAAACATAAATTTTCGTTCGTGGTCATCAAAATAAATGACACCTCTGTACGCTAACCATTTGAATGGAAAACAGTTAGGAGGGGTTTGTTGTTCTTTCGTGTTTATTTGTATAAAGCCCCACTTGATTAAGCTATGAGAGGCCTAAATGACGTCATAACGTCGTGTTGTCTAGCAATTAAAACGTAGACTGGCAAATATGGTGGTATTGTTGATTGTTGATTTAAATATCAACTGGTGATTCTTAAAAATTCAGTCTACTTGACCCACAAGACAAAGAAAACTCTTTGATTTACTGTCAAGCTGTCCAATTTATTTTCAATTAGCTTTGGCCAAAAGTTCTAAAAGCAGGCAATATATAGAGTTTCACTGAAGTCCCTTTTTGTCGTATATAGAGTTTCACTGGAGGTCCCATTTTTCACTGGTCCGTAAGGTTTCATCTTTTTTGTCACCATCTAGTTTTTTACCGACGAGGCATGAAAAGAATTTGAGAGTGGATATGAGAGAAGCTTTATTCCTCTTCAATACATTTGAATATTCACAACGAACAAATTTGATATTTGTTTAATATCTAACGATTCTATATTTTCTATATATACGATATCTGATATTCTAACGATTTTGTATCCCTTATGACTATCTGGTTAAGAGTTATTGGCTCTCTCTTTATTTTGCAGTTTAGCTATATTCAGTGTTTCTTGTTTTTCTTTGTCAAACTGTTATATTTTGTTAGATATCTAATTATTATCCATTGTTTACCTATCTGTCATTTATCTATCTGTTGCTTTTCTATTTATCACATCCTTACCCTTACCCACCCCAATGAAGCTCGTGAATTAAGCAACGTGATCTTGATAAAGTATTGGTGAACGATCAGCTCTTTAGCATCTACTTTTGTTAGCTTTTCGTTAAAACATGCACTAAAATTAATAAGAGTATAATAAACTTAACTACAAACATTTCATGATAAATTCTTAAGTAAACATCTATTAACAATCTTATCTATACGTTTTATAAGAAAAACGATTTCTTTTTGTATTCACAGAAAGGTATTTCCAAAGGAAATTCCATTCGGGAGAAATCCTCAGCAGCGATAACTAATCCGACATAAATGGGGAAAAGAAAAAATAAAATTGGAAAGTGTTCAGTCAGCTAAAGGTATTTCTTAAAGGAGGTGTTACGAGTATCAACGTCGTAGTTATATACAAAAGCAGGAACTTCCTTACGGCGATTAAATTCGTCTTTTTGCTCTTAGAATGAGTAGGTGGCAATTCACAGCGAGCCACTTCTATTTCGAGAGGCCGCACTGATAATATTGGGTTTTCCTACCTTTTTCTGCGAATAAAGGCGGAGTTAAAAGAGAATGAAGAAAAAAAGTAATAAAATTATATGTCAAAAACCAATCTTAAGTGTCTTTGTGTATGAGTTTTCGTTTATATTACTGGATGAAGTATTTCGGTAGCCATAATCAAGATATCGGAAACTATAACAATAAAGAAGTGGGCAAAGGATGTATAAAAGAAATTCTTTTTAAAATACGAATTGAATTTGCTTTAACGAAATAAATTTCTCTGTCGTAGTGACTGTAGTAGAAAACACACCTATTTTTAGCTTTTATAATAACTAGATTCTCGGCAGATTCATTGTTGAAACATTTTTGTAATACATATTCCGATTAATTACTATTTAACTGGGAATAAGCCACAATTAAAGATAAAAATACGTTTATTGACGTTTCAATTTCCACTTCGGAAATCGTTCTCAAAATACAAAACGAAAAAATCGTTTTTTTCCTTCTTTACCTTCGCCAAAATTTAGAATGTCGAATCCACCATTTTTTAAGAAGCCTACAAAAAATTATAATTTAACCAACAGATTAACAACATTAAATTAGTCATTTAATAACAACAAACTATATATAAATAAAGTCAATAATTAACTATCTAAATTAAAGTTTCTCATTTGGAACGATGTAAGGCTAAAGGCAACAATTATACCTAATTACATAATCTAATGGGAAATTTTTAAGGATGTCCCCTTGACGTCCATTTGGAAGTTGTGATTACATATTGTAATATTGATTTATATGTGATTCATGCTGGGTCAAATGATCTCGTAAAAATTCCCATATTCTATAACGTTCTATCAAGGTTTTAATGCAAAAATGTGTACTATGACTATAGATTCAACAGATACACATACTTCTTCTTCTTTTTGTGCCACTCCTATTGGAGATTGGAAATCATCAAGGCTATTCTGACCCTGTTTACGGCTGACCTAAAGAGTTCATTAGTGGTGCAGCCAAACCACTCTCTCAAATTCCGCAACCATGACATTCTTCTACGGCCTGGATTCCGTTTTCCTTCTATTTTTCCCTGCATTATATTTTGAAGTAATGCGTATTTATGTCCTCTCATCAGGTGACTAAAATATTCGATTTTTTTTCGCTTTAGAGTTAACAAAATCTCTGGGTCTTTTCCTATTCTTCGTATTACTTCACATTTTGTTATTCTTTCAACCCAACTAATCTTCAGCATTCGACGGTAGCACCACATCTCGAAACTTTCAATATTTTTCATGTTGTTCTGTTTGAGAGTCCAGGCCTCTACATCGTATAATAGCGTGTTAAATACATAGCCTCTCAGCATTCTTAATCGTAGAGGGATGCTTATATTTCTGTTGCAGAAGAATTTTCTCATCTTTATGAAGGTGGCCCTGGCAATTTCGATACGTCTTTTTATTTCACTGTTTTGGTCTCCAGTTTCGTTTATTAAAGTTCCCAAGTATTTGTAACTTGATACTTTTTCAACTTGAGTGCCGTTTATACTAATATACGCTGGTTGTGTCATGTTTTTACTGAAGACCATATATACAGATACAATCATTAATAAAGATAAAGAATTACAACATGGCGTTTGAAGTCAAATGTAGACGATTCTACTGGTAGACTTACTTACTCACCGAGTATTATAAATAAAATTCATGTACTTTTCCATATCCAAAACTGACATTCCGTTTAATTAAAAAATAGCTTAAAATACGTTATTTTTTTGCAGGAATCAGAGCTCTTTATGGAACTCATCCGTGACGTAGCGAATGAATTAGACATTGATGTGCTGTGTTACAAAATTTTAAAAAATGTCAGCATTCTTACTCATGCTGACCGAGGTTCTCTCTTTCTGGCCCGATCGACGGGGGAAGAAAAGTACCTCGTCCCTAAGTTGTTCGACGTTAGGCACGATTCCTCCTTCGACGAAGCAATTAGACTATCCAGGTCTGAAGAGTTGAAGATACCGTTCGGCGTTGGGATTGCTGGAACAGTGGCGCAGACGAAGACGCTTATCAATATCAGGGACGCATACAAGGTGAGGATTTTTTTTTATTTAAGTCATTCAATGTAGTAGTAACTTACGGCTGATAGACCAGGGTAGATCTGTGAAAAAAGAAGTGCATTTGGATATGGGAGGTGACATTCAGATTTTTGCTAAAAAAGTTGTATGATAACTTCAATAATCATAATTTAATTTCCCTTGCTTTCAAATGGGAAATATTTTCCAAAATATTTAAAATATTTAAAAACGATTTAAAACATTGTTTTTCTACTTTCCTTGCTTATAACTTTAAATTAACCCCCTCTGTGGCTCAGTGGTAAGAGCGCCTGCCTTTAAACCTAAAGGTCGTGAGTTCGAATCCCACCTGGGTGGAAATTTTCGTTTATTAAAAAAATTAATAAATGAAAATAATTTCTATCCTTGTGTGATCGGTACACACCGGAGGGACCGCAGACGTTCGGATACAATTAGCGTCTCTTAGCAAAGACAATGACGTCGACTTTGCTAAGTATTAAGACAATTACTCTACACACACACACACACACACACACACACACACACACACACACACACACACACACACACACACACACACACACACACACACACACTACACCTCAAATTGTAAGATTGGCGAATGGATTTAGTGTCCGCAGTCATTTAAACACAAACAAACAACAACAACAACTTTAAATCGGTTTATTTTGGAGAGTAATCGTACTAAAATATAATAGCGATGATTGAATCTACTATAAAATATCATCATCATCATCATCAATCAGCCCTGAGTTGTCCATTGTTGAACATAGGCCTCCTCCAGACTTTTCCATCTGCCTTTGTTCTGCGCTTCTGATATCCAATTGGTCACGATTCTTTCTTTTTTAACTTAAGAATCTGTCTTTCTTCTTAATCTGAATCCTAACTAAAGAATCTTTTTTAACTTAAGAATCTCTCTTAAGAATCGTGACTATAAAATAAAACGTGGTTAAAATATTTTAACTTATTACTCTTGCGGCAAAATAGCAATAAATACAAAAAAGAGGGGAAAACATCCTGTTTTATTTAATATTTTTGAACCACTAAGACTGCACTTCGGAGTTTCCTAATTGACCTTGAAAATATTTTTAACCCTCCATCACTCGCACCTTCAAAAATTACGCCATCACTCGCGTATTAGATTTTATATAACATATGGGTATAGGTCAAATAAATGAGTCATTAATACTTATTGGTTAAGCTTATTGGCTATTAACTCACAAAAACAATAAACTTATATTTTGTTAAAACAAAACTGCAAAAAAACTACTAGGAAAACTAAAAAAATAAACACATTACCCTAAAACAAAAGAAATAAGGGAATTTATTTAAAAAATGTACACATTACGCATAAAATTAGATTTCTTCCTCTTTTATGCAGTGGTGGCAAAAAGTATTTTTTTAATCCAGTGTGCTCTTTAGATATTAGCAACTTACAGTTAGTACAATAATGTTGGGTAAACAAGTTCTTTCGTACAGGGCAAAAAAAATATCTAGGTTTATAGTTGGAGTTGTCCCTTGAGAAACTGATGGCTTTTCTCCGGTTATATTTCGAATCTTGAGGCTTAACTGAAATGGCAGATTTGGGATATTGGAACATGGTTGAAGATGGCGCATTAAAATTTATTTGACAAGCTCCGCAATGTAGCTTCTTCGAGATGTCACAATATTAGTGTTATTGCTGTAAATTATTTGGCTGTTTATTGTTGAAATATTTAGCAGACTGCAAAAAAATAGCACACGGCCAGCGATTGCTAAATCGAGTCACCGAGTGTTCTGCCTTCATTTTATCAACAACATCCACTTCGCCTTTTGTGAGGTTGTAATCAGTAATAATTTTTGGCTGCATGGTATGCTTTGGTGTTTTCATTAACGAAACCATCGCTGTGTAGTGTGGAAGGTAGTAGTACATTCTTTTATTTTACGCATATGATACAAGTACACACTTGTTTCTATCGTCACCATATGCAAATATGCTACTACTTAAAGGTCTTCCTTTTACTTTTGTCAACTGAGGGGGAATTTGTTGTTTGTTTTTACGCAAAGTACCTATCGTTGTCAAGCAATGATCGTTAAATGACGAGTTGGCTAAGGGTACAGAGGAAAAGTAATTATCCGTAGTTCCATTTGGACCGGTTCCACTTATGGGTTGTATAAGTCTTTTTACTACATTAGATGCATCGTTGGGTAGTTAATATGGTCCTTCAGGTTGTATGCTGGGGTAAATTTCGAGATTTTGTGTGAAAAATGTTCTAGCGTCCACCAAGGCATAAATCTTGATTCCAAGATTATCAACTGACAAATTTTCTTGCCTCTTAGTGACGTCGTCAAATTTTACATCTTGAATTATTTGGTGAAATCTTTTCTTGGACATAGTAGCTACAAAAATATCTGGAGCTGTGCCATCTAATTTCCAGAGTACATCAGTTTTTAAATGTTGCGCTCTCTTTACCTCAGCATGGAACAATAGTCCGATAAATGCTTGCATTTCCTCGTAGTAAACAGCAGGACAATCCCTAGGGCGAGTATAAAATACTCTTATCATATTCAGTTTTTAATTTGTACATTTTACAATAATATTGGGTATAGCATCCGAAAAAAGCAATTTCCAGCATTCTACTATGGTTTTGGCGCCTTTTGCTTTTACTTTTACCCCAGGTAAGTTCGTAACAATACTACAAGCTTTGATCTTATCTTTGAGAGTGTGTTTCTTATGTTTCAACCATGGTGTTTTATCTTTGCTATAAAATCTTGGATAACTATCATCTTGGCCGCTTTCTTCCATGGCATCTTCAGGATCACTGGGTAGATCTTGTGTGGATTGCTCAGAATCTGTATTCAAAACGAACATCACTTAATAATTTTGCAATCGTTTGCATAGTAATTCTGCGATCTTTTGCATAATCATTTTTAAACTCTTGTTATGTTAAATAAATTGGACTTTGCATGTTCGAAGGTGGGCCTCAGAATGACATTGTCCAAAATTAAGGTTATGACAAATATAGTTTCCAATAACCATTTAACTAATTAAAACAAAGTGGTAGAAAATAAAGAAAAAATAAGAATCGGCAGCAAGAATAAAACATAACCAAACATGGAAAATCCAAAGACGAATTACTTTAGCGTGGGCAGCCTTTGGAAAACTGCGAGACACACTTAGAGCCAACATACGAATTATCCCCAAAAGAAAAGGTATTTCTCCAATGCGTATTACTTGTCATGAACACATAGAGGAACTAAAATGGAATTGGGCATGCTATGTAGCGAGAATGCATGACTCACGCTGGACCAGCAAAATTACACATTGGAGGCCCAGAGCAGACAAACATAGTAGAGGAAGACCACCTACATGTTGGGCTGACGACATCAGGCTTATCACGAAAAATAGGCAACAAAGAGCACAAAATCGCAAAGAATGGAAGAGTTTAATGGAGGCCTATGTCCAGCAGTGGACGTAATAAATGAAGGCTGGATAATGATGATGATGATGCTGATGATGATGATGATGATATATGTGTATATGGAAATCGTTTAACCAACCTTATCGTTTTTATTCTATCGCCAATCCAAGCTCGTATTCTTTTTCTTTGTCAATGTCATCTTGACTTTCTTGTAAATGATATTACACGTATGAAAAAGTTACTTTCGTACTAATGATCTGCTTAATCTCGTGACTAGATAACCTATAGTTTTAAGGCACTAGAGTCTCACTTTTCGGCCTTTTTCTAAAAAAATATTTTTAAAAATGATTTTATCCACATAATCCTACAAATTATTTGTCTTTTGGGGTTTACTGCTTTTATTTTAAAACCGACAACACTGCACATAAAAGCGCTTTATTCAATTTTGATTTTTTTTTTAGACCAATTACAGAATTTTTCTACTTAAATCGCACTGATTTCTTTATTCTTTTTAGACTATCTAACGCTTCTGAAGCTCGCAGATATTTCTCTGTATTCTTTTAAATTAAATTTCCACGATTTCTAGGAAGAAATCGGTTACGAAATAGGTGGAAATTAATTGGTTATATCTTACTTACGGCGCTGTTGCCATTACTTATATTTAAAAAAAATTTATATTATATAGATCAAGGCGGATTTGTTTTGAGGTGGATGTGAGAGGTGGTATTCGGATTTTAGCAGATAACTTCAGTAATAATAAGCTTTCCCTCAAAATTTTCATAAGATGGCCCTACTTTTGCATTAAAGTCTCCTAAAATTATGATTAGGGATTGCATGGGTATATAATTACCCAAGCAATCGGCAACTTTACTACAACAAATCCACTCATTTTTCTATGCTTCTTTGTTAACTACAATGTATGAAAAAATGGTCTCTTGTTTTCAACAATGTATTAACAACAGTCGAATTGTTTAATAGTAATTGTGTTTTTGTAAGTGGAATATTGGCTAAATATACGGGGAAAATCAAAGCTAACAAAATGTCTGGTAATGTTTATTTACAGTTGCGAAACTGCAACACTCGGTAAGATTTAGCTGTCCTTTTAAATTGCTGTCAGACATTAATAAATACGGTATAAATTCATCCGGAATTGCGATTTAATTAAACATCGATGTAGCCATCTTTTATTTTTATCGTTTTTATCGAAATTTATGCCTTAATGTTACTGCCGGAACAATCCGATCTTCCCACATACTTAAATAAATTTCCAACTATTTTATTACCGTCTTTCCAACAATAAATGTTCAGGCAGCAAACGGTAAATATTTAATGGTAATAAAAATAAGGGTGGATAGAGTCATAAAAATATTATAACAGTAATAGCAATAAGCGTTAAAATTGTAATTAAAGTGAAATATGGCCGTAGTTTAATCAATGTTAAAGATATTTAGGTCATTAAGCATATTTGGGTTAATAGAAATATACTTTGTAGTACGTTATAGTGCTCAGACGATTTATTACAGAAAGCGATCAAATAGTGGTAAAAGCAAATAAAAGGATAAGGCAAAAAACAAAAAGTTACACGATGATAAAAAG